TGATGATGATGATGATGATGATGATGATGATGATGATTTTTAATGAAACTTAAACATAGAATAACTTCTCCACTAAAGTTATTAAAATGTTTTTTAACAGTTTAGTGTTTAAAGTTAAAGTTTTGATGTGAATCTTCTGGCAGAGCGTCGCTACTAGAAGCTTTTAATTCTGCTCCGTTAGAACCGTGTGTTCTAGATCTGTAACTGAGGAGTCGCCGTGGAAACCGAGCGCTTTGAATCAAAGGCGTAGAAAAGATGCTTAGATGAGCAGATTAAATGCATCTCTGCCGTTATCACAGGTTACAGCAGGTGTTCTAGAATCAGCAGATCCCAGCAGCGCAGAACAAACGCTGTAAACGTTTATCAGGTTAGTCTGAAGCCGTTAATCCAGCAGAAACAATCAGATTATCTGCTGCAAACTGTAGAACCTAAAGGTTCTTCTAGAACTGGGCTCAGTCTACGGGTCTTTGGGGTCAGGACTCGGGTCAGTCTTGGACCACCTCCTCCCTGACACGGCTGGCCCTCCGATGGAACCGACATCTGATTCAGTTTAATCCCAGTCTGGTTAAATCCAGGGGATTATCTCTGGTGGCTTTAGTGTGGAAACAAAGGATGTACGGTTAAAGATGAGGACCTTTAAGATTAAAGGAACATTATAGATTATATTAAAATACACGCTGTAATAACCCAACGCTGTAAACTCTCATTTTCCAGGATTACCAGCTGCCGTGTTGGTAGCGCTCAGCGACAGGCGCGGCGCCGTGTCGGACACGCCAAGCCCGTGTTCTCCTCAGGCCAGGTGACCAAGCAGGGAGCAGATTATGTTGCTGCTAGCTGAGACCAAAGCTGTGAACTTCCATCCAGCTGCTGCTGAAGCACTTAAGCCTCCTGCTGTATTAATCTGCTCCATAAACGTATTGATCTGAAGCCACGGAGCACTTTGGAAATGACATTACAGGCGCCTCCATTAAATGGATGCGAGCAGAGAGGCAGAATGTTAAACCGCTCCGACGCGGCGGCAGAACCGCCAAGGGCGGGTCAAGGTGTGGTCCAACGCCGCCCTACAGCTCAGCCGCTGCCAGCTAAGATGAGCTAGCGTCCAATAGCAGGACAGGAGTCTTACCGGCCACGGTGACCCTGGCGGTCCGACTCACGATGCTCCCCAGTCCTTCCAGTGTGGCCAGGCACTGGTACTGTCCTTCATCCGGCCGGTGGTGCCGTGAGTGGACCACGTTCTGGACCATCAGCGTTCCGTTTTCCAGCTGTGTTCGCCTCTCGTCCACCACCGTGCTCAGCAGCACTCCGTCTTTACGCCACTTGATGGACGGAGGTCCCGCCGCCGCGTCCGTTTGGGCCTGGCAGTCCAGCTGCAGCACGCCGCCTCGCACCGTTACCGTGTCCTGAGGCTCCAGGCTGAAGCTGAAGTCCACAAAGTTCGGACTCGATGATGACGGGGAGGAAGAGGATGAAGCATCTGAGGCTGTGGACAGAGCAGGAGAAAAAGACAGAAGTTAGAAGACAGCGGCAGGCAGAGATCAACGCATCCTGATGAAGACAAGCTCAACCGGACCAGAACCGACCCAAAAACACCTGCTGGTCCAGGTGCTGTTCACCACCCTGGACCAGTTCAATGTTCTCCATCAGAACCAGTTCTGATCTGTTCCTCACATTTATCTGCCGTCCGCAGCAGCTGGACAGACTGCAGGAGACTGTGGACGGAACTCTGTTAACTCTGCTAACCCTGCTAAAGATGCTAACCCTGCTAACCCTGTTAAAGATGCTAACCCTGCTAACCCTGCTAAAGATGCTAACCCT